ATTATACTGTTCTGCCCCACACTCCACCAAGGTATTATGTAATATATAAGAGATTTCAGATCTCGAATTCTTATTCATACCTCACTTGTGAATAAATACACACACATATTTAGTAGTTTCTGCTTCAAAAGCACCGCTAAAGATGGCGCACTAAAAACAGATAATGTAACAATCATGTGACAATGAGTTCTCATTCTCATTCCTTTTATTCATTATTTAAAATCAAATAACATACTTCAAGAACTTTATGCCATGTCTTTCTTCCGTTTGCTGTCATTCTGAAAAAAACTGCAAGAGAAATTGTTGCAAAACATGTTTGTTCCTCTATGGAATATATAAACTAAAACTAAATATACGGATCCCATATTAAATAGGATTAACTCAGCATAATAATCATCAATTAATAGTCACTGAATGCAACATAGATAATGTTTTAGGCACTATTTAAAAAATGATGAAAAATTTATCCAGAGACATAACAACAAGGAACACCAGTTTTTTAATATCTTTAAATTTTTTCTTTTATATTTATTTTATATCATAATGATGTGAATTAGATTGTATAGTAATTGATTAGATTGTCACAGCTCATCACTCACATGTTATTAAGATTTTGGAAATACCAAGTCATGTAGCAGTTCATTCAGGTTTAGTAGAACAGTTTGTTAGTTATTTTAAGATCAGTTGCTCAGGAAAGTTTAGTGAGAAAACTGGAATTTAGAAAGATTCTGAAGCAGAGATGGTTGTTTATCAGCTGTGGAATATCCAAAAGTAGGTTCTGATTGGAAATGCATTCTACTATTTTAAAATACTAAGAATCTAACTTTAAAGCCTTCATAGTCTTTCATTGTTTTTTTCTTAATGATTTCCTTTGCATTTCCAACTGAATCTCTCCAGGCAGTTACAGGGGAAAAAAAATGAGTTAGCTCATCAAACAGGTCTTTAGTCTTTTGAATGCTTCTTTGTCGTAACTAAGGAAATAGAGTGCACTCTTTTAAGTTGTAGAAGAACGACCTAAGAAAGAATTGTAGAACTTTATTTGAGCCGAACTTGAGAAATAAAACCTGGGAAGAGTATCTCAGAAAGCTCTGAGAACTATTCCACCTGTTATAAGTCAAGGCACAGTTTATAAAAGTTTTTTGAGACAGAAGGCTGTACATCAAATGACATATTAGTGACAGTTTACATAATCCAGGTCTAAGTGTCATCATGGTGGGTTATGTGATCCTTTACAAGACCAAGAAAGAATGTTATCTTCCAAAGAGTTGTCTTTTTTGATGCTAGGCCAATGGTGCTCTGAATGACTGAGCAGGTATTCCTGCTGATGAGAGAGATTTGGTTGATGCAGAGTGGGGGAGAGAGGAGGCCAAAGGGCAGAGAAGAATTCTTCTGTTTAGATATTTCTTATCTTGCCATAACTGTGGATTTTATTTCACAAAGTCAAAGGACACCGTGTTCTTCTTTTCATAATTTCATTTACGTATTTGTTTTTGGCTTGCTAGGTCTTCATTACCATGCATGAAGCCTTCTCTAGTCGCGGTGAGCAGGGGCTACTCTCTGGCTGCTGTGTGCAGGCTTCTCATTTTGGTGGCTCTCTTGTGGGCACCGGCTCTAGGACGCAAGGGCCTCAGAAGTGGAGGAGTTGTGCTCAGTGATTGCGGCTCGCGGGTTCTACAGCGTGGGTTCAGTAGTTGTGGCACATGGGCTTAGCTGCCCTGCGGCATGTGGGATTCTCCCAGACCAGGGATGGAACCCGTGTGCCCTGCACTGCAAGGGAGACTTTTAACCCGACTAGACCACCGAGGAAGCCTGAAGCTTGGTTCTTAATCTAACCAATGGCAATATAAAATCTGACAAAAGCAGCACTAAGATGATTTTATTAATCCATAGATTCAGTTTTTTCATGATGTAAAGTTGGATAAAAAGACTGCCAAAGTTTTCTGAACAATAATAGAAACGACTGCTTTGGTTGCTACCAAACCAAACCAACTAACCAACCAACCAACCAAACTGAAGCTGCTTTGAAGCTTTGGAAAACCTAGAGCAAACTCTCAAGTTTCCAGTCTCAAAAACTCTTGTTTGCTACTACCGTGTACATTTACACACTCCACACTCCAATTACATCATCATTTTAGCTTAAGCTTACCATTTAATGAAACATATCACTACATGGCCTGAAAGTGTAATAATACTCAAGATGAGCAATTTCTGTCAGGGACAAATTTGTTACATGAATGGATAGTTTTTCATTTCTTTTTAATCACATTTAAAATATTTAATAATTAGCTAATTATTAAATTAGCTACATTGTTCATTTTAAAGATTTTAATTTAAGTAAGGATTAAATTAAATATTAAATTATATAATTCTAATGTAAAATCAAGTATTTTTGATTTCTAAGAACCTTAGTCAAAATATTTTGCCTGGAGCTAATATCTTTACTACATTGGCATTATTATCCATATGCTACATAATGATGTGTAAGAAAATAGGTCAGTTACTTACATGTATAGGGAGATAGGCAGATAAATAAATAAAGGTATCTGGCTAAGGTTATAAAGATACTTGGCAATCTGGTATAAGAACTCAAAAATTTCAGCTCCTCTATAATATAATGATTAAGCCCAATTTTAGACTTTGTGGATTCAGTTAGATAACATTTCCCCTTTTATTCGACACACACACACACCCTGGCACAGCATGATTATGGAAAGAATACCAACCAAGATGTAAGGATTACGCTTCGATGCTTTCTTCTGCTCATGTGTGATTCTGCTAAGTGTCAGCTTTATGGGGCCCTGCATTCCCATTTGTTTCTTTTGATTCCTTAATTCGATTCTAAATCTTGGAACACATCATACCCTTTGACCAAACATGAGTGCTATCCCAACATTAGTATTACAAAGGGTATCCACTGAAAGTTAAATCACATTTTATATTTTAGCTGTTTAACTTTACGAGTAGCCACAAATAACTGTACTTTAAACTACTATTAAGTATTCACTATGTGAGCTTATGCTACTTTGAACTGATGGAAAACTATAAGATTTTAAATTGTAACAATAAAAATAGACTACTTCACATTTGGGGTGACAGTATTGTCTTATCTGGCCAGTTAAAGTTTGAACTTACTCAAGTAAAATTAATCCAAGGATATCAACAAAACATTGTCAATATATTCAAAAAAATTATAGCGATGGTATAATTTATAGTCTCTACAGGCACTATAAAAATACTTACATTAACCTAGAAAGGTACTAGTATTTAAACAATCAAAGAGGCACAAAAAACACATTCAAACATGACTTTTGATTGAATTAAGTCTTGTGGGATTTTCTTGCCTATCATTTCCACTCTAGAGGAGCGAAGTTTCAGGGTAACAGTCTACAGAAATACATCAAACCAAGAACTGCACCAGGTCCATGAAAGCATATACCTTCTTTGCTCCTTCTGTGTGGGAGTGAAGGAAAAGAACATGGGAAAAATTCTCATCCACTGTAAAAATTCTCATCCACTGTAAATATAATAGTATGCCCATCAGCAGTTGATACTGATCTCACATTTGTATAATTCTTTCTCCATTTACAAAGCTTTTCTACATGATTCACTGGATTCCCAAAATAATTTCATGAAATACAATTAATGAGGTCATTAGCCTTGTTTTACAGATGAGAAAACTAATAGAGGTTAAGTTACTTACTCATGTATGAATACTGGAAAGCAAAGGCAAGTTTAGAACCAGGTTTTCTGATTTCTTATTAAATATTCTTTGTACTATACAAATTTGGTTTTCAAACAAATGAAGCAACTACAGTTAAACAGTAAAGACCTTATGATTCCAAAAAGCACTTTCTTTGTGATCAAGAATGGTTTACAGAACAGAATAGAAATGTATATTATAAAATATTTGACATTGTCATAAAAATGTCCCTTCTAGGAGGGGAATTTAATCAACAAGTTAAAAATTAGTAAACTCAAACATTATCTTATAGCCTTAACTCAATATTTTATTTTTACTTTTACTGATGATATTTTAAAATAGAATTTGAATGCTATTTCAAACATCTAGCCAATTTTCCTTGCCCAGAAAACTATTTTCTACACTTTCCTTGTATTGAAAATGGGGAAATTTGGAAATTCACTTGAACATAAAAAACAATTATCAAAAATATTCTACACTTACCTATATTGATAATTTTGACAATAGCTCAAGGTAGGTTGGATTTACTTTCTTTGAAAATGTCGTCAGTATATAAATTCATTTTTCTTATCTGATTGAGGACGGTATACTATAAAAACAAAACATTTGCTGATAGTGATCCTTCATCTTGATTTTTACAAATATTTATAGTAAAATATTTTGCTGAGACCCTTGGATGTCTCTATAAAACATAAAATTTTCAGGAGCAATAAATCAGAGAACAAAAATTAATATAAGATTTATGTTTTCATGTTCAGGCAAAATTAAGGGCGAATATTTCAGAGAATGCTTACAAACCTGCTACCTTAAGCAAGAAATTGTTATTTTAGGCCTAGTTAATAACTCTGAGATTGTTTACTTTGTAAATGAACAGTGCACTTTTAAATCCACTTTACTATTTAATATTAATTAATGCTAGAGAATGTACTTCCTGATAAAACCTTTTCAATAGAGTATATGTGTGCATAAAACATCCATCTCAAACTATCAAGAAAGACGAGTAATATTGACATATTTGGATATTATGGTCAGTTATATGCTAACAAAATGAGAATGAAGGCAATTATGCAGACACTCCAGTTTTCAGAAAATGTTGTCTGCTTTGCTTGATAATTTAGCAAAATACCAATCTGGTAGTTTAACAAGTAAGCATATTGCTCTGAATTAAATACCTTACAAAACAGCATTAGCATGGGTTTTAACTTTTTAAAATGCTTCCATCATATCATTCTGTTGTTAATGTTGGTATTTATCCTGAAATGACACCCAATCTGTTCTTAATTCTTTGGCATGTTTGAAGTCAGCAGAAGCACTCTTTCCTGGGCTTTACTGCTTCCTCAGAAGAATGCACAGTATTTGGAACGAAACCACTTTTAACCCCTTCCCAGCCATCCTGAATACAAATCTCTCCCCTTTTAATAAGTTCATATATGTCTCTTGTCAAGATAGTGAAGGATTCCTCAACATTCGTAGCATCTTTTGCTGAGGTTTCTATATACTTCATACCACAGTCTGCTGACAGTTTTTCAGCTTCTTCCCTTGTAACTTGACGTTGTGAAGCTAAATCACATTTATGTCCTACTAGCAGAAACACAATCTGAAATGGCTGTACGTGCATTTTTGCTTCTTCCAGCCAATCTTTCACGTGTTCAAAAGATCGTCGGTTAGTAATGTCAAATACTAAAAATCCACCAACCGAGTTGCGGTAGTAAGATCGAGTTATTGATCTGAAAAATAAATAGAAAAAAAGGTTGTAAAAGGACAACTTGTTCTATTTCAGGCAACGTAGCACCATAACAAAATCTGAAGATACTTTAAATGTGATTTAACTAGAGTTTATAAATCAAATACAAAGTGTCTTAAGTGCACAAAAAAATTCTATGAAACTAATATGCAAGCCAGTTTCATCTACTGACAATGTTAGATATTTTCAGATAGATCAATAAGCACATATATGTCATCTCACACTCAGGATTACTTTTATTTTTAAATGTCTGATAGGATAATTATCACATTACTGTGATTAAAAGTATGTACACAGAAAGTTTTGCTTCAGGGCAGAAGTTATAATGATCTTAAGAATCTTCTCCTATCATTTAGGTCAACAAGCTACTCCTTATGTCAGTCAAGGAAGAAGAAACGAGGGCCAACTTGTCACGTCAGTTAGAGGTTTAGTCCTGGGTTAGTTATACCTGTTCAAGAAGCAGGCAGTTGTTCAGACATGGGATATGAATCTGAGATGTATGTACTAATGATTGTTTGCCTCCGCGGATCTAGTCTCTGCTCTCCTGGCCTCAGAAAGCCAATCTTTACAGAAGCTTTCTCAAACCCCTTTGCCCTCTGGGCTGCAGTGGGTTCAGCTAGCGGGAGGGGGGCCTGCTGGAGACTGGAGGAAAGGGAGGACAGGGTATTCCCCTCCCTTTGTCTCTGCCAGGCTGGGATTTGGTAGTGGTTGTTTTCTTCTGCTTCTGGTTGACGTTGCTGTTGGGCAGTCCCTCTCCCATGGCGATGCCTCTCAGCAGGTTCTGGCGGTCTCATTCCCTTTCCCTGCCCCTTCTGGCCAGGTCATTATAGCTTCCCACGGAATGCTTCACCATTCTTTGCTGATGCCCTTGACTTGGCCCACACTTCTGGAAATAGTCATCTTCATTAAACTCGTTTCAGTTAACATTTCAAGTGTGCTATTTGTTTCCTGACTAAATCAAGATGCAAGATGGCAAGACCATACTATTTTATATTTTTTGCCTTTATGTATGTTGTTTTCTCCACCTAGAATGTCTTCTACACTTTTCTTTGCCTAGCAAACTCCCATTCTTCTTTACAGAGTCAGTTAAAAAATCCTATCATATAAAAAGCCTTCCATGACACTGTCTTCTCCTCCTCTCTTAGGTATTTCTCTTAGGTATCCTCTCTTAGATATTTCTCTAGTAACGCCATTGAACCTTTGGCATACTGCCATTATTTATCAATTTTCATAATGTATTGATTGGATTTGTTGGTATGTCTTCAATTTAATGAAGACATACCAACAAATATGTTCCTTCTTTAGGGCTAAACATATTCCATTTATGTATCTAACAACTGCCTGACAAGTGATGGATGTACTTTAATATTTGCTATATTGGATTAATTAATCTTATTGGAGAGGGAACGTGTTAAATGTTGTATGAGCCAGAGATCACATAAGTGTCTCAGCTTCCAAGTTGTCAGTGATTTTTTGTTTTTGGTCAAGCCATGTGGCTTGCAGAATCTTAGTTCCCTGGGGGTGGTGCTGGTTTAGTTGTTAAGTTGTGTGTGACTCTGCAACCCCACGGACTGTGGCCAGGCCAGGCTCCTCTGTCCATGGGATTTCCCAGGCAAGAATACTGGAGTGGGTTGCCATTTCCTTCTCCAGGGGATCTTCCTGATCCAGGGATTGAGCCTGTGTCTCCTGCTTGGCAGGTAGATTCTTTACCATTGAGCCACCTGGAAAGTCCTTAGTTTCCTGACCAGGGATCAAACCTGGGACTCCTGAAGTGGAAGTATGGAGTCCTAAACACTTCACTGTCAGGGAATTACCCAAGTTGTCAGTGATCTTGTCAGTGTCAGATCATCCTTAAGCAAGTGTTCCTGTTACTTGCCTGAGGCACCAAAGATATTTGTGAAGGGTCAGTAACTTTACATACCTTCTTTGTCCTTATTGCTGAAATCACAGCTCAGTTCAGTGTCTGGATACCACAAGTACAATTTGTTGAAGAAAGATTATCTCACCTCCACATATCTCCTGCCTGCCCTTCTCCTTGGAATTCCTTATAGAGAGGCTCTTAAGTGACTGTTTAAAAAAAAACTCTTTCAGGGACTACCGTACCACACAGTTGGAGACAGTAAGGAAAAACTCTCCCTATCATTATGTGAGTGCTAAGTTGCTTCAGTCATGTCCAACTCTTGCAACCCTACGGATTGCAGTCCACCTGGCTCCTCTGTCCACTGGATTCCTCAGGCAAGAATACTGGGGTAGGTTGCCATACCCTTCTCCAGGGGATCTTCCAGACTCAAGGACTGAACCTGCAACGCCTGCATTTGTAGGTGGGCTCTTTACCACTAGCGTAACCTGGGACGCACACTCCTACTATCACTGACAGGCTATGAATAATGCAGTTCATTTAAGTTGTTGCTGTTCTTTCTTACTTTTGAGGGATAACGAATTTGTTATTGTTTTGCTACCCATCTATATATGCTGGAATTTAGGCAGATGTGCAGGGCTCCCCAGGTGGCGCTAGTGGTAAAGAACCCACCTGCCAATGCAGGATACCTAAGAGACAGGGTTTTGATCTCTGGGTCTGGAAGATTTCCTGGAGGAGGGAATGGCTATCCACTCCAGTACTCTTGCCTGGAGAATCCCATGGACAGTGGAGCCAGGCAGGTCAAGGTCCATAGCATCACAGAGAGTCGGCCACAACTGAAGCGACTTAGCTTTATTTATTTTTATTATTTACTCTTGACTCCACTGGGTTTTTGTTCCTGCATGTGGCTTGCTCTAGTTGCAGCAAGTCGGGACTGGGGCGGTGCATGGGCTCCTTGTTGTGGTGGTTTATCTTGTTGCTGAGCATGGACTCTAGGGTACGTGGGCTTCAGTATTTGGGGCATGTGGGTTCAGAAGCTGCAGCTCTTGGGCTCCAGAGCACAGGCTCAACAGTTGTGGCACGCAGGCTTAGTTGCTTTACAGCACGTGGGATCTTCCTGGGTCAGGGATCAAACCCATGTCTCCTGCATGAGCATGTGGATTCTTTGAGCCACCAGGGAAGCCCAAACCAACATGATTTTGTGGTTAAAAACTCAGCACTGTTCAGGATCGGGGGACACGTGCACCTGTGGCTGATTCCTGTTGATGTATGGCAAAAACCACCACAATATTGTAAAATAATTAGCCTCCAATTAAAAAAAATTAATTAATTAAAAAACCCTCAACACTGAAGTGCTTGTCTGTTAGGCAGAGGCAGGTCTTACACTGTAGGAAATGCTACATATTCTCGTACTCTATATTTAATTTTGAAAACATATTTGGAATACAGTTAGCAAATCATTCTATAGAATAAAATAATAGCAAAATATATGTAACGTATTCTATAAAACAGCCCTTATTAATAATTAGTTGAAATAAAAGGGCTCAATAGGAAACCTGCCTTTTTCAATATAATAACTTGATCTCCAGTTTGTGTCTGGATATTAGATTTAGAATTCTGATATAGTTAGGATTCAAACTCAGAATTACTTGTCCTAAGAGGTAGGGTTTTCCCTAAAATAATTGAGTATCCCTGCTGTCAATTATTTAGGGGGAGAGACAGGCCTCAAGATTGAAAAATAGAACTTAAGAGCCAGGTCTTACAGAGATGATGAGGGGGCATCTATCTTTCTCTGGAAGTTATTCTCTTGGGTTGAGATACCTAGGTGTTCAGAATGTCTTAAAGGTGTTTTAAGGAGGCAGGGAATAAACCCTAAAAGAACTAGGTAGATAGGTCTTCCTGTAAAGAATCCAAGAATTGCAAAGAATGAAGAGTAACATTTTTTTTTAAGCAACAACATCTTTTGCATGTTATTTTATATCTACTTCCTTCTGGGCTTTGAAAGTCTCACTGAATGAATAAATGATTTAAAGACAGCCTGGGGAAGGTTCCACTGGACAATTACAGGCATGACATTTTAGAATACAGACATGCCCACTTTGTCAAGAGCTATTATGCTTTTGAGAAATGGTTCTTGGCTTAAAACCTGGCTTTGATAGAGATTAACAACAGCTGTCTGTGCAATATGAGTGCTCATCAAGTGCTCATCTGCGCTAGGTGTTCTGATTCATAGGCAGGAACTATGACATCAAACAGAAGTCATATACACAGGCAGGAATAGGGGTGGAACCTGAGGGGACCTGGAGCAACATGGCTCACACATCCAGCATGTCTCCTTCTGCAGCCTATGGCCTCAACCTACCTCAACCTATGGCCTTATGTGGATTTCTCTTATAATCGAAGAGGAAAAAAATTCAAGTCTGCCTTACAGATGGCTCTTAATAATATGTTGGCATCAGTCAATTCCACTCAATAGTGGAAAGGACAAATCTTTCCATTTCTTCCAAAGGAGAAATTCCTCCATAATGAGGAACTTTTACCAGAGAAAGAGATGGAGAGATGTATGTTAAGGACCTACATGAATTCATGAGCAGAGGCTAAAGGTTAGGCATGTGGGAAAAAACAAAATCAGAAGACTGATAATAAGGATGTTTGGGATGTGTGGATGGTTCTTGAGTATGCAAATACTGTATCCAATGTGAATACTTACCAAAAGCCTCCTCTGGGAAGGAGTTTCTTAATAATCGGCTAAACAAAATGTCCTGTCTTACAGTCATCAGTCAGTATTTTTATCCTATTTTGGACTCAAAGTGATCATGGTAGTAGGCTGACTAGGCTCAACATAGACTTTCGCTTAATACCCAATTTTCTAGCAGTTAATGACATCTTGAATATGGTAGCTTACCTGGGAAAACCATCACAAAAGGGACACTGATATGTTCTCACTGTAAAAGACATTTAATGTGGACTCAAGCCATGTTAGCACCACCATCCATGAACTTGTGGAATGCCTTATACAAAGTCCTATCTCACACTTTGCTACAGACCAAAGGTTTCAGTTCACAGAAGAAGAAATGGGCTGATTCCATAAGATTCAATGATCTTATGTCACTATCACCTAGAGG